CTTCTTCCAGACACACACACATACACAGTTAGAGTTAGCACGTGCACACACACACTTCGTCTCCGGCCCCTTGAGTAATCAATCTGCCACATTACAGCCTTTGGCAAGGCTGCTTAAATTTGCATAAACCTAATGGAGTTTTTATTGGTCTTTTCTACATGCTGCAAATTATAGAAAGGGAAAGGGGGAAAAGATGCTTAAAATGGCTGAATAATCACCCAGACTAATTTGATTACGCCCTTAAAAAGAGACGAGCTGTCATACAGTTACAGGGACCTCTTCAGAAAGCCAGCTGGGAGTATGTGTGCCTGGTAATTAATCTGAATTACGTAATATTTACGCTTCTGAAGTAGTATTGAAGTGGCATGTATTCAGTCAATGAGACGCTCTTTGTTGTAGTCTTAAATTGGAATTTCTGCAAGGATTCATCAAGACATGCCTCAATGTATTCTGCAGCTGTACCAAGAGTCCTTATCTGTCCCTGAAAACAATGCAAACTCATGTAAATGAGTGACTGTGATTCATTTGTTGGTCAATACAGTGGAATTGTTGGTGGTCATTAGTAAACATGGCATAGGCCTTCTTGGACACAAGGGACCGATAAATAAAGGAGTCAGCTTTGCTGTGGTGCATCGTGGGTGACTGGGCCTCTGGAAGACACAGATGGAGACCAAAGTGCAATAAAGCTAAAAGAAAAAATGGAGATGAATGTCATGATGGTGTCGTTCATTTGATAAATGTGACCTCGTCTTACAGTGTGTGTGTTGTGTACTCCTTCAGGTAGACGGTGGGTAAATTTTTGATTTGTTCAGTTTTGTCAAACTCAAGCTGGCATCATTCCTGATGTGGAGGAGAAAGATAAGTGGTGGGAACAGGCAGACTGAGTCAGGTTAAACCTTCAGATCCAATCACTTCATATAGTTCCAGCCCATCTGTTTAGTCCGCTAAAGGACACACGGACTCCCTCTTTTCCTCGCAGCAGCGCACTCTGGTTATTGCGGTGAACTAGACCAAAGAGGCATGTGGGGCATCTGGGTACTTTCTGGGTTCCACTTATTAACCCCGCCACCTGTTGGCATCCCACACTCCAGACATCTTACTTCGTGTTGGCAGATGGAAGTCAGATTTGGGAAGGTCGATTTGGTTATTTTGGTACAGTGAGTGCAAAAACACAAAGTCTGACTGCAAGTCAGGGTGAGTTTCTCCATATAAACTACTGTGGTTTGAAACACGGGTTAAAATGTGAACAGTGTAGCCGCTACAGCTCAGTGTTGTGTATAATTGACCTGGACACAACTGGTAATAATGACACTGTGAGACAGTCTGGAGCTCATTTCTGTTGATAGCAGGACCCTTGTTGAGGCTGAGGGAGCTGACCTTGATAATGCGAGACAGGGATTGTGTTTTGTTTGTTTGTTTGTTTTTCTTTTGATGGATGTGGTGTTGATACACTGTGCACCTTCTTCACATAGTTGAGATCCCCCCCATCCCATTTCTTTGCAGTAAATAGCGATAATGACTAAATTGAAAGCTGCAGCTCAAACAGTGATATTGTTGTAGTTGGGTTGTATTTTCAGAGGCGTGCGTCTTCATCTTCAGCACTTTAGAGAGATTAGACCAGCAATAGCAGAACTCAAGAAGTGCAGGCAGTGACCCGCACACACATACACACAGAGAGAGTAGCAATGGAAACTTCAGTCATGCCTGCAGTTGCATGTGATACAATAAGTGCTGCAACTGCTGCTTTACTTGGGCTTTGACCAGGAAGGGTGAGCTGAGTTGGCCTTGCTGCAAATGTACGGTTACTGGTTGGTTTTATGGCTGGGTGTCAAACTTGGTACCAACCAAAATGTACCACAGAGTACTGAAAGCTGGCACCAGATGTCTGGTCAGATTTGTAATCTTGTTTGCTTATTCTGTGATCAATTAGGTCCTGATTTAAATCTTGTAAACCTGCTTGTGCATTAACAACGGTGGCTTCTTTTTGTTAAATTAAAGGAATACATTAATTTTGTTATATGCATATTCACGTTCTTTTGTAAGGATAAAACAAACGAGATATATAACATGAAAATGAGCATCAGAGGTAGGCGAATATTGTTTCTCCCTATCTCCAGTCATTGTGCTAAGCTAAGCTAAGAGGCTGCTGGGTGTATCTTTCCTGAGTAAGGTGTCGGGTAAAAAAGTAGTGTTTTTGATATTGGTACCGGGAAACAAAACACATAATATAGTTGGTTTGTGCCTTTAAGGTTTTCAACCGAGCAATCTTTTAGCATTTTTGTTTATTACAAAATACTAGAGTTTGCATTGCATCAATCTGACAGAGAAATTCTTCCGTAGTTTAA